CTCCTGCAACTCCTTTTTGGGGCTTCTGGGGCATAAAAAACTCACTTAACAAATTCATAAAAATCAATTAATTCAAACGCGCAACTTTCGCAGCTTTTGGCAGGATTTCTGCCATTTGTCTCTCCTCCCATCAAGTCGGGGCTCCTCTATCGCGTCGTCTGTGGTCTGTGGAGATAGTAGCAACAGTTTGTGTTATGAATATTTTAAGAGGCAGCCAGTCAGCCAGCCAGTCGTCCCTCCCCTGTCTAACCGAATAGAAAAACGACACACAACAGAGGAGAACCACCGACCCAACGCCGGGCCCGGGCCTGGTCTGGCGGGTGTAGAAACTGCAGTTTGCTCGCCACATTCATCTTAATTTCCTGTCACGACAATGACAACGACGTTCGTCGGTGGTCGGTGGTTGGTGGTCGGTCGCCTGGCTGCTTGGCGGGCTCCGTTCTGGACTTCCTGTCCAGCCAAGAGCGCGCGGAGCGTGTGGCCGACCAGGCCCAGACCCACAACAGGAAGAGGACATTTCACTGCACATTCGGCGGCAAGATGGAGCTGTTTTGCTGATCGCTGGAGTCAAAGATGCGAGGAGTCCTTCTAGAGGAAAGCGGAACACACTGAAGCGGGTTTTTATGGCTCATAATACCCATAGAGGCCCGAGCTTGGGGAGTACTGAAATAGTCCCACACAATCGATCTTTTATGGTAGTTTTTGAACATTCTTTTGGTCATTATACGATATAGCTCCAGGCCTAACAGAACCAAGGATAAGTACCCGACTAAAGAGTTTTTTAAGGTCTATATTTTTAGGTCTATAAGGTCTTTTAAGGTCGCTATGAAATGATTCTCTATTAAGATCTTCCGCACAACGAAGCTTTCTATATAAAGATCTTATTACCAGTGCTCTATTCCGTCTAGCTGGGGGAAACCCCCCTTGATATTCGCTTTGGGTTACCTTCTCCTGCGTTCTATTGACCTCTTCCTGTACTCCAATTTATTTTTGTTCAAAGTCTAAAGAGCATAAATGCTTCGACATCCCCGAATGAAACCTTTTGGCCATTCCGCTTTGCTTGTTCTCCTCTTTGGTTGTTTTTTCTCCCCCCTCCCCACCCCCCTCACCCCTTGTTGAGCGCTTTTTAAGCCTTTGTAGCGGCTGTTGCTGCTTTAGCCTTGGCATAGAGCCGGCATCTGTAACTGTTCTTTGTTCCACGTAGATGGAATTGTTGGCTGTCGGCTGCTGGGTCTAGGGCTGTGGGGGGGCTGTGCGTGGGCATCCCATGCCAAATGCCGTCAAAAAGCAGAGGGCCACAAGCGTTTTGCCCGGGCGCTTCACATAAACAAGGACTCCGCCTCCCCCTCCCGCCCCTTCCTGGCCACCAACTCTTTTGCCCGATGTTATCGCGTGCCACAGGATATTGCACTCTAAGCCAGTAGATGGCGTCATGTAAAGCTGGACAACATCCGATTAAAACTTTACGATGTGCGTGTATTCCTCTCTCTCTCTTCTGTCCGCCCCCTCCTGCCACCTATCTGTCGCTTTGTCTGTTTGTGTTGGTAACGTGTGTGTGTGTGTGTGTCTGTGTGGAGCCAGGACCAGGGACAGGGGCACGCGCTGGCCAGCAAGTGGATAAATTCTCATTTACTGCTCTTTTAAGCATGTGCTGTTTTTGCTGCTGCTTCTCCTTAGCCTTCGCTTGTCGCTAGTTGCAGCCACTAGAGGGCATTGGGTTAGTCGGGGTATGCTGGGACACGAAAGAGTTAAGGGAGTATCCAAGTGGAAGCCATCCACGGAGTTGGCAGGTTTCAGGGTTTCGGAAAGTATCAAAATGGATCTAAAAGAGATTTTACTAAATATATCTTATTTTTATATATTTTATTTTTATATATTTTATTATTATATATTATTTATTATATATTTATTATTATTATTAATAATATTTACTATTATATATTTATTATTATTATATTTATTATTATTATTTATTTCTTTTTGCTTTTTTCTTTATTATTAATAATTTATTTAAGACTAAACTTTAACAACAGGTGACATAAGATAGAGATAGAGATGGAGATGGCGATTGAGAGAGAGAAAGAGGGATAGAAAGCGGCCTTCGATTCGAACAAAGAGTGGCCAAGAGCCAAGCCTCTACGAACTCTTTCTAGACACACGAAATGTCTCATTTAAGTCTCTCAAGACACTGCTTGTTTTCCCGATGTAATCCTATAATTAAATATGTGGTAGGACAACCCCTATCAGTCCATCCGGCAGTCCCAATATAACCTACTACATCGCTAGCTTATATTAATAATTCCCAAGTCTACGGCCACTCTAGAAGAATACCGAATATACGGCCACTGAGAAAAGGATGGAGATCGATGGACGCTCTATCATTCTAAATGTCTCATCAAAAATAGGCAGTCGTTTTTGGAGAAATAAAGATAATAAAGTAATTAATATTCAATCTCCCAAATAACATAAAAAATAAAAGTAAAAAACTTCCTTCGCTACTTTTATTTTCGATCTTTCGTCCTTTGCAAATAACTTACCATGACCCAAATTTCTTTCTCATTACAAGGACACATTTTTGACATTTTTGAGAATTATTTGAATGTCCATTGGCGACCACATCCAAAATTATAAATTTTTCAATATGAGTGTCGATTTTTTTATGAACGGAAATTCGAGTTATTTTAATAAAATTGTTTTCCTTAATCTACTTTAATGAATATTGCTATTATTATTTTTTTTGTTGTATGCTAAATTGCATAGAGATTTGAGGAAAATTTAATTTTACCGTTTTCTTTGGCTTGAGCCGGAATCCTTTTTCCGGAAGCCCTTTTTCATCTGAAATTTGTGATCTAAATCAGTTATCCTCCACCACTACGCGTATCAAAATCTTGAAAGAAACAGTCCCCTAAACGCTCAAATTAGTTCCAAGTCAAAAATGCAGGGAAACACCCAATGCAGCCAGAGACTACTGTACTGGATCGTATTATAGGTGCTATACATTACGGTACGGATGACTAAAATTATTTGTATTATTTTTCTAATAAGATTCTAATGTAAGAATCACAATGTATAAAAACTAAATTTTAATATAATTTACTTTTCCTTTAAAAAATAAATTACTTCTAGTGCGTCTTTTCTAGTGATCAAGAAAAAAGAACATAATTTAAGACAGCATTAAGAAACTTTATTTTGCTAAATTTGTATACTTTTTGAATAACATATATGAAGAATCGTTAGATATTAACCCAGTTTTTAGCATATCAACTTTTTGTCAATTCTTTAAAAATAAAAAGTTGTAATTCAAAATTAAATCCAATGATGAGCAGTGTATATGCTACACCATATAGAACAATTAGAATCCCTTATCATCTCAGTCCCTTCCAGTTCTAAGGAGTATCCAGAAGTCAAGACCCCGCCCTGGAGCGACCTCTGCCTCGTCGTTCGGTTTCAGCGTGTAAATTGTCCTCTCGTTATGTGGGCGGTGGGGGAGGTGGCGCCACGAAAGAGTGGCAGAGTGCCAGAGTGGCAGGGTAATAGCGCGGCATGTTAAACTGACCGCAAGCATTGTTTATCATTAAGTGCGGACCAGGGCCAGAACGAGAAGTGGGCGACAGTCGGGGCCTAGGCCTGGACCCCTCCTGGACCCCGTCCCGGTCGTGTTGCGGAGCTGCCATGTGTCACATGACATATGTGTAACGGGAATGCACTGAGCCCCAGCCGGGACGGCACATTTTTGTTGGCTGCCGCTCTCTTGACCCCCGAAACATGTGTATTGCGGCTTCGAGCCGCGCTTCCCCATAATGGAGTCGTTAGTTGGTGCCACTAAAAACCGAATGAAAAGCCCAACTTTAAGCGCTCAAACATTTACTAAAGGAAATAAAATAAACTCCAATGTTTTCTTTCTTTCTTTTTTTTTTGGTGCCCTCCTCCGTGGCGATTGCAGCGACGAGTGCGAGTGCATGCAAAACTTTTGTAATTAGGAAGCAATGTCGGTCATTAGTGCGGGCGCCCAGAGAGGGGGAGGGGCGGAGATACCACAAAAAGGGCGCCAGCAGTCACAACAACAATGCAAATGTGCGACCAAAAAGCCAGAGAAAGGAAAGCTGTCTGGCACTTGGAAGAAGCTGGAATACCCTTCCCCAGGGGGGGAGACAGATGTACCCTTCCCAGGGGGAGACCATGGGGGATCTACCCTTTGAAACTTGGAAGAAACCCTGAATCCCTTTGGAACTGGGAACCATCTACCCAATAAAACACCATCCCAGCATCTATTTCCCCTAGAGTCTCGGATCCGATGGGTTTATACCGCCTTATAGCCCCAAAAGGACCTCCGTTTATGTCTGTTCCAAGAGCCTACAACCCGCTAGATCACAGATTTGTTCCCAAATGCTTCTGGAAACAAAGAAGCGGAAGCAACCCCCTGGGTAACCCACGACAGTGGCCCTGAAGATGGCCAACAACCAACATTTCGGGCCAACAATTGAAATTGAAAAAATATCCAAAGGCAGGGCGGGGGGTTGGCAGGGGGCCGTAGCGTAATTTTAATAAAGTTTGAATGCAAAACTTTCTGATTTGAAATGCATATAAAAGTTAACTATTTCCGACGCTCGAGAGCTCCAGAGCTCCAGAGCTGCGAATGTGTGCGAAAAAGTTGCACATTGCGGTGATCATTCGATGGGGGGGCGGGGGGTTGGGCCACGCCCCATTGTGACTGACAGAAGGCGCCTTTGGCAGGGCCATAAATTAAAGCGAAAGGCGGAAGGCCCTAGGACTGGGTTTTGGCCAGCGAACGGAAGCCCCAGCTGGGCTGTTAAGTAGCCTGGAGTGGGGGTGGGGGGAGGAGGGCACCCCCCTTCCCCACAATGTGCTCCGCATCGAGCCCCAAAATAACTTCAGAGCGGCTAATTCTGTTAGCCCTTATCTCCAATCGAACGCTGAAGTACCCGATTATAATTCTTTGCCCAGCGATTAGTGGAATATTAGCAGTCGATTAGTGAAGAATGTGCGCCGCTTGGATCCACTTGGCCCTGGTGGGGCTCCTGGGAGCCAGTGCCCTTGGGGCTCCGATTGGGGAGGAAGATCCCGAGCAGACGGCTGGCTACTTCCAGGGCGACATGGACGTGGACTTTGAGCGGAATGGACAGCTGAGCGAAACGCGGCGCTGGCCCAACGCCACAGTCCCCTACAGGATCGACGAGGCGTTCGGTAAGAGAGGGACAGAGCCTCCAAAGCTGGCAGACATCCCTTGACAGCCACCCCCTGCTTGCAGATGCCCCCCAAGTGGCCCACATTGAGCTGGGAATGAGGATCATAGAGCTATCTTCGTGCATCCGCTTCGTGCCCGCCGACGAGGCCGAGGAGAACTACCTGATCGTGATTCCCTCCACGTCGGGCTGCAGCTCGAAGGTGGGCTACCAGCCCGGCGAAAGGACTGTCAAGCTAAAGCCCGCCGTGCTGGACACGGGCTGCTTCCGTCTGGGCACCATCCAGCACGAGCTGCTCCACACGCTGGGCTTCCACCACCAGCAGTGCTCCCCGGATCGCGACGACTACGTGCAGATCGTCGAGGAGAACATCTCCGAGGGCCACGCCAAGAACTTTGTCAAGTACGAGGACACCGATGTCGGGGACTACGACCAGCCCTACGACTACGGCAGCATCCTGCACTACAGCTCATTGGCCTTCTCGGTGAACGGGGAGCCGACCATCGTGGCCCTGCGGCCGGAGGGACAGTCCCTGATGGGCCAACGCCTGGCCATGAGCCCCACCGATGTACAGCGCCTCAACACCATGTACAAGTGTCCCATTCAATTGTGAAAATACATTTGTTTCCAGGCGTTTCGCTAGCCTTTCACGTTGTGCCGATAATAAACGGGCTATCAGATCGAGATAGAGGCTAGAGGCTAGAGATATGGGTATAAATTCAGCAAAACCCAATGGATTGATGGATTAGCTGCCAGATGAGATTGGTTTCGTGACGAATGAACTTCGGCCCTAGAACCAGGGAGGGTTTGCCCTCATCTGAAGTGCTTAGAACATCGCGAGCTCCAAAAAATAGGTTTTTATTCCCATGACACCTAAAATACTTGCTGTCTTTTCCCCTCACAGCACAGTGGCCCATCTAGCAGGGGGAAACCTCTTTCGGGAAATGCGAAAATGAACTTGGAATTCTTCCAGGCGATTTCGGTTTCTTTGTTGGATTTATCGTTTCTAAATTCAAACAGTTATCGCCTATCGAACCCAAAATATGCTGCAATAATTGCACTTATCCTCGTGCCCTTTAGGCTACACAGATTTCGAGATGGAAGTCATTTGAGGCAGAACCTATCGAATGGTAATTATTTGTAGATGGTGATTGGCTTTGGAAAAGAGCTATAATCGTGTCCTGCACTCCATGTCGCTTACTCGACTTTCGTGGGGTAAAAATATATGGGAACCCCTACCAGCGTATACCTTTTTTTTTGGCTAAAAAGTGCTTTAATCGTTTCTACATCTTTCTGTAAAACCAGATCTATGTCATATTTCATACTCTGGGAGCTAGAGGTTCACCCACGGGGCATAGTCGTATATTTCCCGACTTTTGGGAGTCTTAATACGAGATATAGATCACAGAGAGAGAAAGGATTATCCACAATCATAGAACGAATCAATGATGGAGGATATCGCATTCCAAAGAGCTGAAGAGCCAGCCGAAGAGCCAGCCGAAGAGCCACTGGCAGCACTTTACCCTGGAGGAGATTAGGGACTTCTTCAAGACGAACAAGCTCAGGGGAAGGACAGCGTAACGAAGGGGAAAATCCGGTGGACCGACTATCGAGTAGTCGTATTGATTATTTTAGCAATTGGCTGGAAGTATAGTCGATGCCAAATCAGGAATGTTTATCAATAATTTATCAATAAACAGGATTCAAAGTATCAATGGAATTTTATACCGACCAAGGTCGTAATTTTGGAAGATCCCGGCCTAAAAGTGCTGGCCGGCTGGAGGAAAGCACAACTGGCTTCTGCTCTTTCCCAAGGCCTTTGTAAGGGTTCTATTTAGGTCTTGGTCAGACTGGCTGTAAATCTTATCGCTGCGATTAATCGTAAGTAGATTTTGTAATGCCTCGTCTACCCATTTTCCCATTAGTCGACAATGCCCGCCTGGCTGATGCACTTGCTCTTGCTGGGCAGTCTCTGCTCTCGGGTTTTCGGAGCACCCCTCCACAGTACCCACAGTACCTCCGACGAAGAGACCGAAACCGATCCCGAACTGGCCGCTGGCTACTTTGAGGGCGACCTGGAAGTGGAGTTTGGGCGGAATGGCCTGCCAAAGGAAACGCAGCGGTGGCCTAATGGATCAGTACCGTACAAGATCGATGAGGCCTTTGGTAAGACTCCAAAATGCCCAGAGAATCGATTCTCATTGAGCTCCGTTCGATGTGATTGCAGATGCCGCCCAAGCGGCCCACATAGAGCTGGCCATGAAGCTCATAGAGCTCTCCAGCTGCATTCGCTTTGTCCGCGCCGATGAGCCGCAGAAGAACTACGTTTTCGTGACCACCAGGGAGAAGGGTTGCACCTCTCTGGTGGGCTATGGCCCAGGCCGGCGACTCCTTCAGCTCACGCCCCACCAGCCGGACAAGGGCTGCCTTCGCCTCGGGGTCCTTCAGCACGAGCTGCTGCACACCCTGGGCTTCCACCACCAGCACAACTCCCCGGACCGCGACGACTACGTGAGGATCGAGGAGGAGAACATCGTCGCGGGGCACGAGAACGCCTTTCGGAAACGCGACGACATGCTGCTGGACAACTACGACCAGCCCTACGACTACGGCAGCATTCTGCACTACGGTCCGTTCGCGTTTTCCAAGAATGGAGAGCCCACTATTGTGGCTTTAGAGCCGGACAAGGCGTCCCTGATGGGCCAACGCCTGCGGTTGAGTGACACGGACATCAATCGCCTGAACACCATGTACAAGTGCCCCAATCAGCAGTGAATATCTAAAGTACTAAAGAAGGTACCAGGCCCTTGCTGAAAACTACGCTTTTTGATCGATTCTCTGATAAATGACTATTCTTTCGTACCCAAAAATATGTTTCCAATGCCCTAAAACCCACTTTTCACTCCTAAATTTGGGGTTCAAGGTGATAGGCTTTCGCTCATTCCTCTTGAAGGTATTTTTATACCCGATATTCTACAATGCAGAATCGTAGACAATGACCCAACAATGTCTTCAACACTGCCAAATCTGGCTCAGATCGGTTTATTATTCTAGCCAGTGGCTCTCCCTCACGCACTTTTCGTCGTGCAATGTGTAGATGTAGAGGCGCGGCCGTAGCAATGACCCACAACGTTCTCCCTCGCTTAAACAGGGACTTCTTCAGTCTCCTATGCATGGCCTCAGATATTTGTGATCTACATCGATCTGGTGGCATTTTCTTATCCGTAGAAGAACAGAATCATTGCCAAAACCCGGAAATATGAGACTGCCGCCTTCCAAGTAGTTAAATATCAAAGTTCTTCCATTGTCGACTGGCCATAAGTTGCTTTGGGCCCTCCCCTAGGGAATCGTACGATCAAAAATGTACCAAAAAACCACAAAACTAAGTAGTCTACTAACAAATCTATACACCCTGTAGTACCCATTGCAAGGCCCTAAAGTGAAAGTAAAACATAGCCCTTATCAGTTATCAGTCACTCTTGCCAGCTGCGGCTATTCATTTTCCAAACAACCGAAAGCCCCGCCGTGGAAATGTGACTCGACCTACTCTCCGCTCTGCTGCGCTCAAAAAGACTCGAAAATAGCCGCAGATTAGATACCAACAAAGCAGCCTATCTTATCTTATCGGACTGGAAGTGTAGGGCCGCCCCAGGCAGAACCCAGTCCCCCGAGCACTGGAAGGCAGCGCCTCAGTTAGTCACGATTGTAGGCCGAAAGCCATTTCCCCCGTAGTCAGTGAACAAAAGCATTCCCGTAAGCCTGCAAGTCCCAGGGCGCCGATAATGACGAAACTCTGACCGAGGAAGGCCCCTCCCAACAATCACAGATACACATTTTATATATGGCTCTGCAATGCGTGATCAAACCCAAGATGTGGCTCGGTCTTAAGCAGATCCTGCTCTACGTGGGCCTCCTGCTGTGCGTGCTGCTGCAGGTGTGCCGCAGCAAGACCCAGCTGCAGATGTACTGCCCCACGGTCTGTCGGTGCGATCTCCATCTCCAGCGCAATCGGGCGGTCTGCAGGTGGGTTGTCTTCCCCTTTATCTATCTACTTTTCTATCGAAAGTTTCCCCCTTTGGCGGCAGTGCGAGGCGACTGATAAGCGCCAATATAGAAATGCCCAAAACGGTGGAGTTGCTGGATCTGAGCTACAATGACATCACCAGCATAGACAATGACTCCTTCCAGGTAGGTCGAAGGGTTTTTCAGATATTGATCGATAAATACTGATATCCACTATCCCTTAGAGTACCGTCCACTTGGTAAACCTCTCTCTGGCCCACAATGCCATCCACACGCTGTACGGCGATGGCTTTGCTGAGCTGCGGCGTCTGCGACACCTGGATCTGTCCTATAACCGGCTGGAGCAGATCGACGAGCACCTGCTGGAGTCCAATGCCCAGCTGATCCACCTCAATCTGGAGGGCAACAAGCTGGCCTCCCTGGGCAGTGGCCCCCTGCTGCGTAGCCCCTCGCTGCGCTCCCTCAACCTGCGCAACTCGCAGATCAACCAGCTGGGGGCAGAGCTCCTCAGCGGCCTGCCCCAGCTGCGGCAGCTGGACGTGGCCCAGAATCTGCTGCTCACGCTCAGCGCGGGGGTGTTCCACGCCCCCCGCTACCTCGCCTCCCTCAACCTCGAGGAGAATCCCTTCAACTGCGATCGCGCCTTGAGCAAAGTGGCCACCGGACTGCGGCAGCGGGGCGTGGCCCTCTTCATGAGCGACTGCGTGGATGAGGAGCCAGCTCTGCCGCCGCCGGAGGAGGTGGAGCTGCAGGGGGGGCAGACGATGAAGTTCGAGCGCCTCGAGCACCTGGAGCCCACCACCCAAGGGCCGCAGTCCGTGCTGGCCGTGTGGCGGGAGCTGGACTCCAGCGAGGAGAGCACCAGCGACGAGGAGGAGGAGCAGGAGCTGTCTTCCCTCAGCGACGTCTGCGAGGGCAGTCGGGAGAAGCTCTGCCTGAACTACCGCACCTGCCTGGAGCGCGTAAGCCACATGCTCCTGGCCGGCGGAGGCGCCCAGCTGCCAGACGAGGTCGAACGGACGCTCAAGTACGACTCGGACGACCTCAAGCTGGCCTTTGTTGTGGGCGGTGCCACGGGCATCTGCATGGTCATCTTCATCATCACCTTCGCCCTGTGCCTCAAGAGCTGCTGCGAGATGCGCAAGAAGAAGTCCACTCTGGAGTCGCCGGAGGGGGAAACGCCTCTAGATCCCTCGCAGGAGACCCTGCCCACTATTCACACCTGGTCGCCGCACCGGTCTCGCAATCCCCGGCGTTCCAACCCCCAGCGATCGTCGCGTGCCGTGGTCCGCCAGCCCTACGGGCCGCAGGACAGCTTTGTGAACCGCATCTTTGGGCGGCCGGCCCGCTCTCAGTACTACCGCACCATCAACCAGAACACAGCCACCCTGATCCGCCGCCTCAGCCGCAGCAACCTCTTCAGCATTCGCGATCGGGAGCCAGCTAGCCCCACCACCCCCCCGCCGGAGAGCACCTCACGTTTCTACACGGATGAGGCAGCGGCGCGACCTGAGACGCCTCCGCCCAACTACGGGGACGTCGTGGTCATCGACAATTGTGATAACAAGTGAAGTGAACCAAAAGTCAGGAAGAAACATTCGATTTAGCTAAGAAATATTTAAAGTGGATGCTATTTGTGCAGGGGAACAGCTTTAACCGGGCAACCCAACAGCGCACTGTTAGCACTCCAGGTTAACAGGCTGTTAACAGTTGCGCTCAGTTAACAGCCAGCTGCAGCGCGCTCTGACAGCGGCCGGCACTGTTATCACGATCCACACGATCCACACGAACCACTCGGCTCTCGGGCGGCCTTAGCTTGTAAGAGAGAACTCAAAGAGCAGCTACGGGAGCTTTATACACATACACAACGATATATACTACTAAGCAATGAAAGACACAACAAATACATGAAGATATATGCACATATATTTATGGGAATACAATTATCGCTCTCGTACTCTCTGCTGTAAGCCTCATTTATGATGAAAACTTGTATCTGCTATAAAAATCACTTGAAAGCATTTTTCCCGTCGATTCCTCTGCCTGAATCCTCCAAAAGATCTCACACAGAAAATATCAATTGGGGAATTCCAGTATTTTCATTCATTTTTGTTGCCTTTCTTTTGGGATGAGCATTACTTTTACAGGACTTCGACTTGCAGCTGCAACAAATCGCAATAAAAACTTTTGACAAAACTATCAAAGTTGGCAGGGGGCTAGCAATGGGGTTGGCGGATGGGGGAATGGGGGATCCAACTGTGAAATTGCCACAGAAAATCCCCAAAAAAATGCAAGTAGCAAAAGTTTACACACTCAAATAAATGCTGAAGCGCGGAAGCAGAGAGCTGAGGGGCCAGGACAAATCGAAAACACCACAAAAGAACGAAAAAAAGGAGAAAAAAGAAAATAAAAACCACACACAAAAAAATCTACAAGAATAGAACTGGAAAAACCCAACAATTTGCACTGCAAAGCGGCAAAAGTGTCTCCAAAGAAACAACCACCAAAACCAGAATCAGATACGAAAAAAAAAGGATACACATACATATATATGTATACATGTGTGTGTATATATAGGAGCGGAAAGAAAGTCCAAGTTATGTTTGGGGATGTGGAGAAAAAAAAATAAAAGAAAAACTGTATGTGGCGGCTCACTGAGAGAAATGAAGGAACTCGTTAATAAATTAATTGGAAGGCAGCCAAGGAGCCAGCGATGGCGATGGGGCGGCACGAATTGAGGGCACTGTAGGGAGTGCCTGGAGGGAAGAGTATGGAGAAGGCTATGGCGGAGACTGTGGAGAAGACTAAGGAGGAGACTGTGGATAAGGCCAAGGAGAAGACTAAGGAGAAGACTATTGAGAAGACTAAGGAGAAGGCTAAAGAGAAGACTAAGGAGAAGGCTATAGAGAAGACCATGGAGAAGAGCATGAAGAAGATCATGGAGAAGACTATAGAGAAGAGTAAGGAGAAGGCTAAGGAGAAGACTTCCTGTTATAAATTATCTATATAAAAAATGAACCCCCTTCTTGAAAGGTTCTTGAAAAAGGTGCCACATATTCTACAGAAATATCTACAGTATCTACGTACAGTGCTGGACCTAAATATTGGCACAGACATAAGTTTTCAGTTTACTGCCGTTTTAAGAGCCTTTTCATCGCGTTTTTCCAAAGAAAACTACTTTTAACCTATGAAATCATAAATTTTCTTTAAGATTTGCTAATTTCTACAAGCCCGACTTTATGGCATTATTTTCTGCAATTTTTCAAACGACAAATGGTTTAAATTTACGTCTAGGTTAAAAAATATATCAATTCCTAGATATATCTCAATTTTCCCACCACCCTAGAGAAAAAAAACTATAAAAACTTGCTTGAAACGCAGAAGACTTCCGTTTTAATCCACTCTTTGTTTGGCTTTTCGGATTTGGGGAAGGCAAATTCGCTTTGTGGCGTCTTCATGGGTTCTGCTGTTAAGTGTTTGTCTAGCTGTCTATCCATCCATCCGAACGTATCTGTGTATCTGTGTTTTGCGGTGGTGCCAACTTTCATTGCAGTGAGCTGGAGCTCGGCGCTCGCTGTGCGGCACTGCGGTGCGTGGCAGTGCGGTGCGGCATGGTGCACAAAAGTTACCGTATCCTGGGACCAAAGTTGCGTTGTCAACAACCAGAACGCAGGAAAAAAGCCAAAAGCCAAAGAGAATAGTCGAATAGTCGAATGGGGAAAAACGAAACGAGGGAAACTGTGCGAAAAAATGGGCACCGGGAAAGCTCAGGGGGGGTGGGGGGCCAGGACCAGGACCAGGACCAGCAGGAGAGCAGGAAAAGCAGTTACAGAGCGTGAAAAAATATCTAAATCCTACATTAATGAA